GGCTGGGAGACAGAGCAGAGCAAGGCTGCTTCTCTCCCTGCAGATCCCAGCCGCAGCCCCAACCCACGCAGGACACGGGTGCGCCACCAAGGCCTGACACTGTGCATGAGGGGCCGAGACCCCAACAGGCATCGGCGTACTGGGTCTGCTCGTTCGCTGCGAAACCAAGAGACGGCAGCTGCCCGACTGCACTGTGAGGGTTGTCCAATCGCCTCCGCCAAAAATCCACATTCGGCTAATGAAGGTGGCTGGATGGAGGCTCCAGAGAGTGCTGCCACCCCGCAGAGGGCCAGGGAGCCGTGCAAGGCACACCCGGCCAGCCAAAAGACATGCTCTTCAGAGTCCCGGTGCAAGCTGACGTGCACCCCTGGCACGGGCACATCCCTCCCTCCCTCCTCTCACCCACGCAGGCACGAGGCCGTGCGGAGCAGGACCTCTCCCACGTGTGCCGGCAGGCCCACGGGCACGGCCGTCGTGCCGATAATAAGGAATAATAGTGGGTGTCGGTGGAAGCCGGGGCTGCCGGCGGCGTCAGGGGCTCGGCGGTGTGGCGGCTCTTTCGGAAGCAGCGCTGCCTTCCTGCCTTCCTCCTCCCCCATTTCTTCCCGATGACATCAGCCTGAAAAACAGGTTCTTGACTTCAGAAGGGTTCATCGGCCGAGATTTGGGTCCCACCAGAGAGGGGAGAGCCCCTCCTGACTCCAGAAAGGATGCAGCCATCCAGGAGCCGGACCCTGAGATAAGCAGCAGCGGGCAGGCACGGACCCTGCCGACATGCCAGCACTTCTGGGAATAAAAACCACCGAGGAGGAGGTGGGGGTGGAGGGAGTGCAACGGTGGGGAACAGATTTTAAATGTTTTACAGAGGCCTGGGCAGCTGTAAGCCTGAGCTTGGGATCACCCCCAGCTCTGACACTGCTCAGGGACAGGGCAGCCTGACCCACCCTGCGCAAAAGCCGAAACCCAGGGCTGGCTCCCAGCCCCCTCCAGCCCCCAGAGACCAACAGCAAGTCTTCAGGCTGGCCAAAATGACAAGACGGGACTTAACACCGCGCAGCAAATCCTTCCGAGGGCCACAGGGCTGGACTTGGACCAGCAGGGAACATGATTCTACGAAACATCCTGCCCACCGGCCAAGCTCAAAGATTATTTTTAAACTCCTCCTAAAATATTTTTGGGTTTTCCTCTTGCCCTGTTGAAACTAACAGTCTGCACAGGAAGAGCGAAGCAGCTGCCCGTACACAGAGCGTGGCCGCACACACAAAACAAACAACTTATCGCCATTATAATTACCTGCGATGTTATCGGTAGCTCTGATGGGGTCAGCATTCGCAGAAGGATATGTGATTTTTCAAATTGTGTCATTTAAAACGTGAGACCATCCTTACTCCCACCCTGACCAAGGGGTCAGCCACCAGCATTACCCACTCGCACCAACATGACATTAAAGGGGGCGAACAGCCCCGGACACGGGGCTACATCACGCAGGAAATTTCTTCCCCCGACACAAGCACCGACGGGAATCTGCCTTTCCTCTCACCGGGGATTTACTTCTGCAAGAGCCTGAATATTTTGACACACAAGCAGTTGCTTAACTAAGCACGTAAAGCAAAGGGACTCACAGGGCTCCTACAATGACGCCAGGATTTGCCTGGATGGAGGTAGCGTTGGTTGTGTCCAGGGCCTGATCCTCTGCTATTGCTCCGGTGCTACCCCCGAGGGGCCGGAGCATCCCTGGAGGGTGAGCATCCCAGCCACCTCCCTGGTAACGGTGGGAAACCAGCCCTGCTCCTAACCCCTCACACGCCAGACTGCAGCTCTGCTCCACCAAACTCCCAAGAAAATATGAATCGCTCAACATTTATCAGTTCAAAACACCCGTGCAATTAGCAAGATTTTTTTTTTCTCCCTCCAGTATAATTATATACATTTTAATGCAATTACCACCCCTGTATTTTGTACATTAAACAGTAGGCAACTGAAGGAAAAGAGAGGCTTTATTTTTCTTGGCTTCGCCTTTCTGAAAATAATAGTATGTTGCAAAACAGCTCCAGCAGAAGGGCTTATCTTTACCAGAGAAAGAGGGAGAGCAGATGGAAAATGGGAAGGGGGAAGGAGGGATCTCCCAAAGGGAAAGCAGAGATTGCAGTGCCCCTCCACACTGCCCTCACCCTCCGGTCCCTAAACATACCTACACCTGGAAACCATCCCTGATACCAGGGGCAGGACTTGGAAACAGCCTCAGCTTCCATCCTCCATCACCGACAGAAAGGAAAACCAAATCAAGCAAATGGTTGTCGGTTACTCAACCCCCGAAGCCGAGGTCATTAGCCGGATTAAAGCTCTCGAGCTCCAGCCAGCAGCACGGAGAGCAAAGTCCAGCTAAACTGCCCAAATTGGATTACTACCGCGCCTGAGTCTCCGTGCCAAGTTGGCCAGCGGACTGCGGGATGCTTGAGATGGGCAGGCGGGCGCTGAGCCCCAGGGCTGATCCACAGGTTGCCAGCGAGAAGGAAGAGAGATGGGGAGGAGACGGTCCCTGCACAGCAAGTCCCCCAGAGCCACGCAGCCCATCCCCAGCACCCCTGCCATGCTCTCACCCTGGGCACTTTCTCCAGTGAAATCCCTCAAAAGCTCAGCTCAAGCAGCAAAGAGGATATCGCGCCAGGTCCTGAATCAATCCCAGTGATAACAGATCTCCTCAGGCGGCTCAGGAGGGTCTCAGCCCCCGGGCACAAACCAGCATGCAGCAGCCCACAGGGCAGGGGTGGACTCGGCCCCCATCACGTCAAGGCACCCCAACCACAGGGACAGAGGGATCACCCAAAACAGTGCACCTCGCGAGGAGATTTCAGAGGAAAAAGGAACAAAAGTGTTTGTGAAGCGTGAGCCCGACAGTCTGGACATGCAGCTTTTCTCCAGGCTCAAACATCTCAGCACACCAGCAACAAGGAGGAGGTCTGCCAAGCCTTGGCTAAAGGGAAAATAAACTTTTAAATGTTTTTAATTCAGGGTTTTAAGTGGTGGCTTCCACCTGGAACAAGGGATGGAGGCAGCCACGGGATGCTCAGGGAAGCAAACGAGGACACCACCCCGAGCCCGGCCGCACTCTGACAAGCCGGTGGGCAGATGTGTGTTTTGGCTACGTGGTGTGCTGAGTAGAGGGGAGAGGAGCCACGTCTGCCCATGCCTGGCATGGACACCATCAAGATTTATTTATTGGCCGGAGCTTTTCTCCCCCGTGATGCACAAGATGTTTGCTCAAACTTGGCTTCCAAGCATAGCTGGAGAACCACACTGGGGTATCTACAGGGCTTCCATGCTGCATCCTGGCCAGGACTAAGAGGGACACGGCTGAGGCTGCGGGTCAGAGACTGGGTCAGAGCACACACGTTCTCACCACATATCATCTATCTGTAGTGGGATGTTTCCCAAAGCACTGCCCAGAACATGTCATGGGCTATGGCCAGAGAAGCAGCTGGCTGTCTCCAGCCTGAAGCCCAAACAGCCACCCCAGCACTGGACGGTGGCAAGCGCTCACTCCTCCCTATTTTGCATGAAGCCACAGCACTCAGCGCCTGGCTGGGAAAAGGGGCCCCAGCCCAAACCCGGGAGAGGTAAAGGATCGTGGACCACGCTGAACCAAGCTCTCGGTCACTCATGATTCCCAGCCTTGGGCCCTCCTCCACACACATGGCAAACCACCGAGCCATTCACCAGTCAAACACTAGACAGGAGCCCTCTGCCCACTGCTTTCTTCCATACAGCACCTGAGTATCTAATGCCACAATTTGGAGGAGACACCAATGGATCAGAGAGACCCACGGTCTCCACGCATATATCCCACCAGCCCCAGTCAATCTAAAATCTGAGCTTGCGGGCAGCGAGGATGGCATATGGGCATCGGGGTGACCCATGCCCACCTTCCTGTCGCTACACCTCTGCCGCCCTGCCTCTTCCAAAATCCCCCTTCCCTCTGGCGTGCCGGGGGTGCCAAAAAACATGACCGACCCCTCACTGCAGACACAAACGACCACAGCACCGAAACACGCAAGGAGGTCACAACAAAGCCCCGTGGAACTCGGCAGAAGCCCGATGCTGCAGGCAAGGCTCCCCCCGTTTGCAGGCAGTGCCGGCACCAGCTATTCCTGCTCGGAAATTCCCAGCTCAGGGCCGAGCCCGGCTCTCGCCGGTGGCTAGTGCTACAGCCTGGAAACAAAGGCCCTGACCCACGCTCAGCCTAGAGAATAAACATGTACAAGTTTCCTTCATTAAGTCCGATCCCAGGGCCGGATCCTTCCCTTTGTTCAACGGATGTCAAACGCAGCAAACCCACCGCAATAAATTGCCTGGCGTGACATTTACACCCGGGGAGCAGGGCAGGGGCCAGCCCCGGCTGCTGCTGGGATGGAGGAGGGGAGGCAGCCCTGCCAGCACGCAGCAGCGCCGCTTTTATTACCCTCTTCCATTTCGGCTGCGCAAAGCTCCGGCGAAACAGCGCTCACCCAGAGCCGCCGGTGTGGCCCTCAGCCTCGTCTCCGCCGGAGTTCAGCGGAGTTTGTTTACCTCTCGCAAGGCACTCTGCCTCGCTCGGGAAAAGGGCTTTGTGTTACAGAGAGGCACAAGGGCTCTTCTCCACGGCTCCGTGCACAGCTCGAGCGTGCACGAAGGCAGATGCCTCTGCTCTGCTCCGAATCCGATGCAGCTACCGAAACAAAAAAAAAATAAGCCAGGAGGGGAAAACTCTTGCTGGTGCCGCTATCACCGTGCTAGCAAAAACAACACTACCAAAACTTTACTGTGCGGGATACCGGCTGCAGAAAGCCCAGCGGAGCAGGAGCCAGCCAGCCCCCGGCGCTGCCTCCCCGCAGCCCCCCGGGAAGCAGCACATCCCGGCTCACCGCTCCCAGAGGAGCGGCACCGGCAGCCAAAGCCGCGGGCGGATGGGGAGCGCCGGATCACACGCCCGATCGGGTTATTTTGAATCCAAACTTCCTTACCAGCCTTCCTCACGGCCCCATGCCGCCACGCCGCTGCCAGCGCCGGCATCCACCAGCACCAGCTGACCGCACCGCAGAAAGCGGGCAGAAGCAAAAACCTTCCCCTCTCGCAGCTGCTTAAGAAATTATCCGTGCGTCCTCCCAGAGGCTTCTGCCCCGCTGCTTTTCCTTGGCTTCTCCACCTTTCCACCCTTTTCGGTCACCGGTGTCTTGAGAGAAAGACATCGAGTCACTCATTTTACCCACTGAGTACATACAAAAGACCCTGAGATTGTTCAGGAAGCAATTAGCCGCTGTTCAGAGGAAAATGGTGTTTTCAAATGGATAACCTTTGATGTAGTCAATAGCCTGGGCTCCTCTTTTTTTTTTTTTTTTTTTCTCTTTCTTGCAGCCACACACAAAAGAAATAAAAAAATAAAAAGAAATCCAGCAAAAAGCTGGTAATTCCCCCTGACGCGGCCCTCGCTCAGCAAAAAGGGATTTTCTCGCAAGCCAGAGGAGCAGCAGCTTGGGAAAGGCAGCTCATCTGCCCAACTTTTCTCCCCTCCACTTCCCAAAGCATAGGAGAAGGATCATGAATATTCATCCCTCCGTTAGCAGGTTCTGCTTTTGTTTTGTTCTCCCCAAAGCAGGAGGAAAGGGGGAGCTAACAAGTGAGGTTAAATGCCTGTCTTTTCTCTTCCATCCATCTCCTCTTTAACCAGTGACCTTCATGTTAAGCCCTGTTTACACACCAGCCCCCCTCCCCTGGCTCCCCCCACACCCGCGCTCAGCCAGGGGCAGAAGGAAGAATTTCCCTGCAAGGAGGACAAGGAAGAAGAAGGGATTTCGGGATTTATTTCAGCATGCCACAGAGATTTTGCAAATCCCTCCCTGCTCGCACGCCGGAGCTGCCGTGTGGGATTGCAGGGCAGAAATGGGAAAGCGAGAGGCGTAAGGGGCACCAAGCGGGCAGCCAGCTTTATTTGCCACCTTCCACATCAATACCGGAGGCACGCACCGGCACGCAGCCCCTCACACAGGTATCGCAGCCTCCCACGCCGCGGTCGGATAGGTGCCCGGGCGCTGCAAAACTACACCACCATCACAATAGTAATGATTATAAGGAGAGCGACGGCAGCCATCCCGCAGGGCGCCCTGCCTCGCTGGGTAAAGCCGGCTCGCTCCCCACGGCAGAGGGATGCCGGGGGGAACGGCGGCTCTGCGGGTTTTGGGGCGAGCCCAGCCCCGGTGCCGCACACCGCGCCCCAGCCAGGATGCGGGGATGCAAGAGCGGGGATGTGAAGCGGCGGGGATGCGGGGATGGCAGCGGAGATGCGAGCACGGATGCGGGGATGCGTGGACGGAGGAATAGCAGCGGGGAAGCGGGACAGCACGACGTGAGGATGGCTGCGGGGATCCGAGGAGGCGAGCCCGGGAAAAGGCTGCGCCCCGCTCACGTCTCCAGCGGTGCCGGACTCGGGTGGGCAGCGGGGCGGTGGGCTCCCCGCGGCGCGGACACTAAGGAAGCAAACCCCGCCGAGAATTCGAGGCAGGCGAGCGGGCTGCGGGAGGGAGGGAGGCGGCCAGCCCCGCCGCTGCGCCGGGCAGGGAGGCACCCCCGGCCCCGGCACCCCCCGCCCCGGCCCGAGCGGCTCCGAGCAGGGAGGTACCCCCACCCCCCCGGCCCGGTCCAGCCCGCACCTGCCCGGTCCCCAGCACCCCGCTGCGAAACCCGTGTGGGGCGAGAGGATAAAGAAAAAGGTTCGGTTCCGCGGCGGGTTTTTGTCCCCCCGCGGGAGGCGGTTCCCGCGGCCGCGCTCCCGGAGCCGCGGGGCGCAATGCGGGCTGGCCCCGGGCGGCAGCAGCGCGGCCCCGGCTCGGCCCAGCCCAGCCCGGCCCGGCCTCCGCGGCCCCACGACGGGCCGCCGCTGCCCTGCCCGGGCCAGCCCCGTTCCGCCGCCGCCGCGTAATTTATTTTTTTTTTTTTTTTTTTGGGGGGGGGGGTGGGGGGGTGGGGTGCGGTGAGGGGGGGGGGGGGAGTGGGTAATCAAAGCAAAGCCCGGGTCTTTTTAACACACCAACGCACCGGGCACCTAAAGGCACGCGCCGCGCCCGCGGAGGAAAGTTGCAAGCGGGTTACTCACGGCTCCGGTCCCCGCTCGCCTCCGCCGTGCCAGCCATAATTGCATTCCACACCGAGCCGCCCGCCGGGCCCCCGCCGCCGCCGCCGCCGTCTCCTCCTCCTCCTCCGCCGCCGCCACCTCCTCCTCCTCCTCCGCGCCCCCCCCCTCCCGCCGCCGCCGCCGCCGCCCGGGGCTCCGCGCCCGCCTCGCTCCCGCCGCCGCCGCCGCCGCCGCTGCCCCGCATGAATGGGACGGCGGCGCGGGGCCCCGACGGAACGCCGCCCGCCGCGCGCCCCCGCCGCCGCGCGCACGCGCACGCCCGCACCGGCGGCGCGAGGGAAAGGGGCGGGGGGGGGGGGGGAGGCGGTAGCGCCCGCGCGCGGCCTCCAGGGGGCGCCCAGGAGGAGAAGGGGAGGGGGAGTGTGGGCGGAGCCTCCCCGCCTGCCCTTAAAAGGGCGATGTCTAGAGAGGAGGGGCGCTAAAAGCGGCCACGGAGCGGTGGGGACCGACAGACTTCCCCCCCCACCCCCTCCACGCAAAGCCACCGGGCTGTGGGGCAACCGGCGGCCGAGAACCCACCTGAGAGGCGCGGAGGGTGCTCCTCTCGACCTTCCCCCCCCCCCCATCTCACTGCAGCCCGCGGCAGGACTGAGTTCCCCAGGGGTCTCCATTCAGCATCCTCTGCTGGCACCGCATCCACCCCACCTAAACGTTTACAAAGGGGGGGGAAAAAATAACAAAAGCCATAAAAAAAGATCAGTCGGGGGCTGAGGTGATTGTCTTTTATAAGCACACTGGGTGCCAGCCACTTTTGTCACCTCCGTTCCTCCACCCTTTTGCTCTCCCTTGCTTTTCCCTCCTGGAGGCAGCAGTGCCCCCCCGCCTGCCCCCGGCACAGCACACCTCTTGGTCCTGCTTGTTTGTGTAGGCCCTACAGAAACGCTCCATCTCCTCTCTGTTGGGAAGGGATCTTTATAAAGACCAACAGAAACAAATACAGGGTTTATAATCAGGACTCCCACTGACTTCATGAGCAACACCTTTGGGATGGAAAGGGCAGACAGCCGCTCTATCCAGACCTGCCCACGAAGAGATGGAGATGCACTATGGTTTACCAGGACCCCACCATGTGCTGTGGCCCGGGGACCACCCCTCAATGGGCAATCAGCGTAGGGTGGCCTGTTCACCCAGCTTTTCACAGGTAAAACCAGCCAGATCTTTATCCCCACCAACCCCCAGCACTGGGACACACTTTGCCCTTCAGGTGGGGACACGCCGTTGGGATTTGGGAGTTGCCTGCAGCAGGGATAGGAAGCTCATGCTCACCTTGCTCGGGCACACACCCGCAGACCTCCTCTGCCGGTGTCCCGGCAGGCGTGCGGGCCCCTGCCTGGGCCAAGCCACGGGCACGGAGGCAGCTCCTGGCCCTGCCAGATGGGAGGAACCGAGTCCTGACGGCCAGGAGCCCGGGAAGCCTCATTCAGCAAGAGCAGCGCAGAGGCCACTGCAGGTCCCTTGGGAGAGGACAAGGGAGGAGGGCTGGGGGCTCCTGCTGAATATCAAGCACCAGAACGGAGAAGGAAAGGAGCCCTCAGAGGCTCCAGTGATAGTAGGAAGGGGAAAATAGGTGATTTGGCTCTTTGCTTCCAACCCTCAGCACTCCGATGTTCACACCTTGCTCAAAGCCCACCTGAGAGCAGAGACACGACTAGAACAACAGGTCCCTGCTGACACAAACAGGGGGGTTCTGCTCATTTATCCCAGCGTGCCCTCACCAGCATCCCTCTCCTGGAGGCTGGGAGGAGCCGGTAACTGGCGCGTTCCCCCGGGACACGGCGTCGCTGCCTGCCGTTCTCCCACCGCTTGTTCATGCACAGACACACACGTGGCCCAGCCTTAAAAGCTTTCTAGATGGAGGAGAAGAAATCAGCACGCTCTGCCGGCAGGGAAGTGGCTGGGGTTTGGATTGCTTCCCCTGATTTGAAAGAAACACTTTCCCCTTTCCTTTTTTTTTTTTTTTTTTTCCCTTTTTTTCCTTCCTCCAGGAGACTAAATTTAGTGAATTCCTTTCACATTAAAAACTTGTCAGGTATTCACATCCAAAGAGGCTGCTGCTCAGGTCTCTCAGGGGAGTTAGCAAGACAGCAAAACCTCTTAAACGTATAAAGAAGAAGGGAGAGATATTCAGGCAATCTCCCACCACTGCTTTTAAATCTGCTCTCTCCCAGGACCAGTGCACAGGCCCCTTGGTCCCACAGCTGCCATCTCCTGCTGCAGAGGCAAGAGGAGAGGAAAGAATTCTTCCTCCCCAGGGCAGGACCAAGCAATGCGGCAGCACCAACCCCCGGGCCACCACTGCTGCTCCCGTGTTCCCCCGCTCAGCACCAGTGGGAAGGAAACTGGAGAGATTTATTTTTGCTGAAAGATGGATTATCAACGTCCATCCCGCAATGAGGGAAACCAAGGTGGCGGAGCTGAGAAAAGAGCGGGCATCCCGGCTGCGGGTGCACCGCCAGCCCCTTCCTGAGCCACCAAGGAGGGTCCAGATCTGAGAGAGGGGAATAAAAAAAGACAGCAAGAAAACCCAAGCATCCCTCATGCCAGGAACCCAGCGCAGGGTCAGGGAGGGACCTGGCAGGGGAGCATCCCGGGTTTGTAGCGGGTGGGAAGCAGCCCCAGGCTCACAGTGACCCGCAGAGCTCACACAGCCAGTCCGCCGGCTCGTCCAGCCCCGTCCCCGCCGGGCACTGGGACACGCTTGTCACTCACATGGCTTCTCCCCGGGGCTGGGCACCTCACTCCCACAGAGACACCCTTGTTATCTCAGGAAGCTTGGCCTTTCATCCTGCCTCCCATGGGGCTTTAATTGCTCTGTTCATTCCCCAACCTCCCTGCGCATCCTCACCCCGCTTCCCTGACAAGCCCCGCGGGCTGACAGCCTCGCTGTGCCCCGAGGACGGCCGGATTGAGTGGCACCTCAAAGGCACTCCAAAGCTCCACGCTCGGCAGGGTGCTGGGAGGAAGGGCTGGAGGCAGAAGATGGCTCCGATGGCAGCTGGACCCAAAGTCCGGAGGTGAGGGGTTCACTCAGCTTCTTCTCATTATGCTAAAAGCTGACTCAGCACTTCTATCCGCAACCTGGATCAAAACTACATCAAGAGACAATCTGTTCTTGGTGTGTCTGATGCTCTTTCCCTATGTTAACAAAGAGACCGAGGGGCATTTTGTTCTCTAAAAGCAGCCTGACAACTACTTTGTAAAAAAGAAACTAGTTGGGAGAGGATGAGGTCGCTGAAGAGAGCCTGAAGAGATGGGGAGGCTCTTCTGCTCATCTCACTGGGTTAACCCAACCCAAGTGGTGAGGGGCTAAAACCAACCAGCTAAATTTGCTATTTTTCAACTGTTCGCAATTTTTGTCTGCTAAAAATTTCTGCTAAAAGGCAGACTCCTGCACAGTATGCCCAGGTCCTCAAGCACACACCACCTCCCTTGGTTATCACCCATGGACCATCGCAAAAGGAACTCCCCAGAACCTGCAACCAGGATTTAAACCCCCTGCGCTGAACAGCAGAATTTAGGGATGAGAGATAATCCAGTGGCCTCAGCCCAGAGGCCTTTGGGGCTGTGAAATCTGTGAAATCTGGCTGGCCCAGAGAACAGCCTGCAACCCAGACGTGGGCTTTGGGGACCTTCACACCCAAACTCTGCAGCTCAGCTCTGCCCAGCCAGTCCCAGGGCCCCGTCCCAAAGGGCATGGTCTCCAGGAGGGGATCAGGTCTGCCCAGATGTCAGCAATGGGTTTTTTTTCCCTCCTCCCATCCTTGCCTCAGGACCCAGGAACAGAAAGGCTGGGGACCCAGCGCTGGGTTCAACCAGAGGGTTTGTCGAAGTTTTCCAGAAGCTCTTTAAGCTTCTTGACAGCCAGGATAATAAACTGTGTCTGCGGAGCTCTGGGGATCTAGGGTGAAATTAAAATGGGTAATGAATAGAGCCATTTTTCAGGGGATCGCAGCTGCAGAGGCAAGAGGGGCCAGCGGGCAAAAGGTGTTGAAGAGGCACATGGGGAAGGGACCTGGGGTGGCACAGGGGCTATCACCAGGGCAGTGTGTGCCCCTCCCCTCCCAGCTCTGCCAGAGAAGGAAGGCACTTTGTTGTCTGCCAGCATGGCTTTTATCCTGCTCCTGCTGCTACAGGCACCCTCCAGATCAGTGGGGTCCACAAAGCATTGTTGGTGAGACGCCCCCTCCTCACCCCCACCATGCTTGTGTTCCTCAAAATGGGGAATTTTCTGTTAAAGGCCTCAGTGGGCAGGCAGCACCACCATTAATTACAGGAAGAATCTCCCTCCCCAGACAGGGCTGGGAAGGAAGAGGTCTGTGGGCAAAATGGGTCGTCTTGAGGGGGATCGGGAGAAAGAGGGGTCTAGGAGCATCCTTGTTTCCCCAGCAGTGATGCACCCTTTGATTTGGGAGGAGGTTTGGTGGGATGGGAGCTGGGGTCGTTGGAGATGCTCCGGGGGATCCTGCTGGGTCTGTAACAGGAGATCTGGGCATCGCTGCCAGCACGTGGGACCCAGGGGAAGGCACACAGCCGCAATGGGAGAGGACGAACACTCAGTGGGACAGCTCGCTCTGCTCTTCCCAAAGCCAATCCCCAGCTCCCAAAAGGCTTGCCTGCCCCGATGAGTGCGTATCCACTAGCCGACAAGCCACGCGTGCACCGGTCCTTCCCCGATGGGCAGGGAGCTCCTGCAGAGACTCCCCCTGGCCATACCTGCACCCGCTGAGCTCCTCCTCTGCTCCTTCTTCCCTCAGCCCCGTGACTCACAACGGCGCTTAATTAGCAGGAAGCCTGATGCAGACACCTGTCAACTCCTCTGAGACAACCAGCATTTCACGTTAGCTGCCCCGGGGCTGTTCAGCAGGAACAGCTCGCTCTCCATATTGATATTCCTTCATCTCAGCCTATTTTCCAAGCCGTCAAGCTGCCATCTCAACCCTCCCAGGCCCAGCAGTGTCGGGGAAAGCGGCCTCGTGTCCGTCAGCTCCTGGACTCCAATCCCACCTTTGCAGCCACTCATGAGTGCTGGAACTGCTTTGTGCTTCCCCCCAGCAGCCTGAGGGCTCCCCACCGAGGAAATCAAGCAGCCCTTGATGAGCCAAACCCCGGCGTCCCTGCACAGCGTGCAAACACAGACTTTGCGTCGGGGCAACTTTGAAAGTAGGAGAGAAAGTCACTGCCCGACTCCCCAGCTCTGCAGAGAGTCTCCAAGATGTGGATCTCTGCTACCACGGATGTGGCATCGCCGCCCCAGCCGTGGCCTGGGGACACCCACCCCCCCGCCGGGAGCCACGGCTACACGGGCTGCTTTGATTTACGGCAGCCAGCAGAAGGGTGCGGTGCCATCGCCGGAAGGTTTAGTGCCGATGGCATTTCGTGACGCAGCGGAGCGCCGTGGCCGCAGTGCTGGGTCCTGTGGCAGCTTACCTGGGCAAGGTTTGCAGCCAGTCTTGCGGAGACGGGAAAAGGCAGGACAGATTGACCCGACGGTTCTAATTGAGGTATAAGGAGATCCTCTGTTAATTGCAAAAGGTGTTACCTCTGAAACACAATGGTTGAGGGCTGAATAGCAGCCTGAAGTCAGTGCTCACCACCTTGGCTGGCCTGTCACCAGCTGGAAACAGGCAGAGCATCCCTTCTGGGGAAACGCCGTGTCCTTTGGAGCACCCCTCCATCCCCGCCCCCCGCCATAGCCCACCGTACTGCTGCTTAATCCTCCCTGCCCTCCCTCGCCAGGGCCAGCTGAGGACCCCTTTCATGGAGCAATTCACCTCCTCCCTCACCATCAGGTTGACATGTGCCATCGTCCACTTCCCAAAGGCTTTCTGGTCCTCCACAAGTGCCAGCAGGAGAGATGCTGTGCTCAGTGTGCAAAGGGACAAGGAGGGGTTGCAGCGATCTAAGAGCATCACCCCTCCATTTCATGCATGGGGAGAAGACAGAAAATGACACAATTAAGACCTGGTGATGCATCAGCCACACTAAACCCCAGGCTATAGCTGCCCCTACGTCCAGGTGCCAGGCTCCATTCCCAGGCTGGCTGTTTCCCTCACGACTCAAGTCAGTGGATAGCTCAACACCAAATCCTTCAGCAGCTGAGAAATTCACCTCTGTCACACGGAACAAGTGGGCGGCCATGAGACACCAAGGAGTCCCTTCCCTTTCTCCAGTGCCCATGTAAAATTAAAATAGACAAGGAAGAAGCTGCTGTAAATAATGCATTTGTGGTGCACTACACAGCTTCAGGAGCACATATTCATTGTCTAGTCTTATTTAAAGAAACCCAGCCCTGCCTGCGTCATTAAAAATGCATCCTGGTTTCAGCTTCATCCCATAAACACTCACCACTGTGAAGCAGGTGGCTCAGTGGCTGTTTTCATGCCTTCCCACTCTCAGCTGGTCCCAGGCAGCCCCATGATGGTACAAGCGAGGCCTCCGGGTCACATGAAAAATTCACGCGCTTGGCATCAGGCGTTTTCCATCCCTCGGCTCCCTGCTCCTCCCTCACACCTGGGTCTGAGGACCCGCTCTCTGCCACCGCCTCCCAGACCCCAGCAGCATCCTCCAAGCGAATAAAGGATGCTAACAAGAACTGCTAAGCGCCAGTCTGGCCACAGCATCAATACCACCGCTTTTCCATCCTGCTGCTTTCTCCTCACCTCCCTGTGGGCCAGTCTTTATTCTCCACGGCCTGTTCCCCTTGCTCACACCCTGCATCTCCCTCCACACCCACAGCTCACCATGCTGTGGGCTCCCCGGCTCTTGGCCGAGTGTTAACAGCCGGTGGGAGCCAAGCCCGCAGTGAGGCAGGTTCCCTACAGCATCCTCCTGCCTCGCTGGCTGCAGCGGCATGTTTGCTCTCCGTTTTCATTCCAGCAACGCGGTGCTGGCATCTTGTACAGCTCCTGGCAGGCACTGGAGGGAATTTAATTCTCCTTTGGCGCTCTCGAAACAGTGGCTGGGGGTGAGGAGGAGAGGCTAGACCCAAGGAATGAGGAGAGGAAGGTGAAGTCGCCCAATGCTTGACTGAAATTTGCCGTTCAACAACCAGCCAGCCACAAGCCCAAATGTCTCATTAAATGGGGCAGCGCTTTGGATAACACAGCTGAAGCAATGGCAGCTCGTTAAGGATGAGGATCCATGGCTTATGGGCTGAACCGAGGCAGGGCAGCGAGGAGGGTGGCCAGGAGGAACCCCGTGCTGAGACCCTGTGCCCCTGGCACGCACAGTGCCCCGGAACAAGCCCTGTGGCCCTTGGCTGCAGGAGCAGGGCAGCTCCAGCGACTCCTGAAGCAGCCAGGCCACCTACGCTGGGCACCGCCGGCATGGGACCGCGCACAGATGAGCACCTCCAGACATCCACCAGCCAGCCCTGGCACAGCAGAGGCTCTGCAGGGAGTCAGGGGGAAGCCCAGGGGGTTTCCAGCTCCAAGCAGCGCTCTCACCCCTTAGCCAGGCCATGACTAACATACCCGCACCCATCCTGCAAGGACAGACGGGTGGCTGGGGTGCTCCCACCCCAACCAAAGGCAGAGCCATCAAACGGCACTCAGCTCATCTCGGCCGGTTGGAGGGAGCCCATGGCCGACTGCAAGCGCCCCTGAGACCACAGCAAAGCCTGGCTCAGAGGCATTAGTCACAGCTTATCACGTTTATCCCTGCTCGCTGCTCACTGCCACCTCCTCTCTGGGAAGAGCTGAGCCGCTGGCCAGCCAGAGGCAAACCGCAGGGTGGGATAAGCTGGCAGCATCGCTCGGACGCACGGACACCCACCCACCGCCCCACACACAGCCTGTGCCCGCCCAGGCACCCGCCTGGATCCTCCGCATCCCCCCGTGGTGGAGCTCCTCCAGAGACACTGCAAGAAAACCTGGGAGATAACACATGCCTGCGACATTAGCAATTAAGGAACATTAATTATAATAATAATAATTATCACAAAATAGCATTTTTATGGCACAATATTATGTTGAAGGATTTACAACATACTGAATCATGAAGTTCGTAATTAAAGTTATTTTAGTTTCTAATTTCACTTTAATTCTATTCCAATAAAAGATATCATAAATATACCTTAAAAAAAACCCACAGAAACCATTACTTAAGGCAATTTCCCTATACAGGGATGTTATACTGCAGCACAGAGATCCCTTGAGGAGCATCACAAACCTCGGCGAGGAAGAACTGTCCAGCCCTGTGAAATACCGAGCTCCCGCAAGCTTCGCCCCAGGGCAGCGGGACGTCTGCAGCCTGCAGTGCATCCACAGCCCCTTGGCTTTAGCTTCCCGGCCACGAGCCCTCCCAAGGTGGTTTTGTAGTCACTGTGTTTCTTCTGCTGGTGGGATGGGAGGAACTGGAGAGCCGGGTATCCACCAGGCCGCTCCCCAGGAAGAGCTGAGCTGGGTTTATTCCTCATGCCAGAGAACTCCTGGCATCACCACTGCGGGTGTAACGTTGCCTGGACAGGGCAGGGATGCTTCACCCCAGCTCTGACTTTAGTCCATGCACCTCTAACAGTGGGCAGGAGACAGAAAGCAAAGACAAGAACCAAATCCCAGTATTCCTGTCCCTGGAGACTTCCTTTCCCCTTCTCCTCAACTTCTTTTCCATGCGACAGTGTTGATTGACTAAAGAGGTTTTACAGATTAAAAAAAAAAAAAAAAAAAACACAAAAAAAAAAAAATAACCAAAACCAAAAAAAACAATCTGCAATTATTTTGATGAAAGTTCATCACTACAGTAAGAAAGTGAAAAAAAAAAAAAATAGAAGAACACAGAAATTCTTTAGGCATGGTCAAAGCTCTACATCTTGGAAGAGATATTACCATCATAAAAGGATGTAATAGTTCCATTTTGTGAATAAACTCCATAATGTTAACAAAGCCAAAATCAGAATACAAAGATTAATGCCTACCACAGCAGCCTGCTCCGGCCACCCCGTATCTTACTGCACAGGAATACCAAGTAACAAACTGTTTGAGTAACAAGTGGGGTATATCACCCTGCTGTGGAGCAAGATATATTTTGAAATCTCAGGTTCTCCCCCCAGACAAACAGTCCAGCCTCCGCTTTGCAGGACCTGCACCGTGACCCAGCTGGACGGGCGCAGGCAGCCGGGCTCACGCCGCGTCAGCCACCCCCACCTCCACGCTTCGCTGCATTGGAGACATCGTCGGGTCCGAGCCCCCCTCGCCTGGAAGCTGCGCCCGACTCGCACTGCACGAGAGGATCGGAGGGAAAAGGAGGAGCTGATGGGCTCGAGAAGCCGTTTGCCTCCAGCGCCAACACCGTCCCTGTGGCCCGGGCAGCCCGGGCTGTGTCCCCACAGAAAGCCACCGCGGGGGCGATCAGCTGAAGGTCCATCACATCCACCCCTCGAGAGTCAGCACGGACCCGGCTGGCACGCTGCTGGCCCGTGGTGGCAATTGCCATTTGATTTGAAAGCCAGAGGATGCGCCGCGTCCCCGCAGCGCCGTCCCCACTTCCCCTCTTTAAGGATCCCCCTCCACCTGACCCCCCCGGGGCTGTGGTCTAACGCCAGGGCAACTCATCACACCGATGGAGCAGCCACAGGGCAAGGCTGGAAGAGCTTTTACCCCCTTAGCTCTGCCCCTGCCCAAACCAGGCAGCACAGCCGACTGCCTCTGTGCCCAGCCTGCAGCCCCACTCCCCCAGGACCACCCCCCCCCAGGACTTCTTCATAATTAATGTAAGGGCACAGAGCTGGCCACTGGCACCTCCCGAGCACGTATTACCCACCTTGCTGTGGACACAGGGAACGTTATGAGGGGGTCCAGGAGATTATAGATCTTGTTTCTGTGACAGCCCGTAACCGACGGCTGGTTTGAGAGGCAGCTGGGGCAGCACTAGTGCCCAGAAAAGCAGCAGGTCTGCTGGCAGGAGATGCTGGCACCAGTGCTCCTGGATGGAGAGGGACCCAGCCTCTGCTGGGAGGGAGATGGGCATTCCCCAAGAGTCGAGCAGGGACGGTGGGGTGTGAATTTGTGGGAAGGGTGAAGGCTTTAACAAAAAGAGGTGCCTATATTACTAGCAAGGTCTTTAATTGATTCTGGGAGAGTGATTTCTAAATTATATCCTGGTGTGTACGCCACAATCAATAAATGTATTAAAACAGAAGGAGCCTGCAAGCCTTCGGTTGTGCTGCCTCACACCATCCCCGCAGCCCGTGCCCCGCCGGGGCTGCAGAGGAATCCCCCGTGAGCAGCGGGGCTGGGCACTGCAGCAGCTGGGGATGTGCCCCATGGAGCAGGCACCCCAAAATACTGATTACTTCAAGGTTTGGTGCCATGGTTTTGTGGGGGAGATAGAAATAAGCATCCCTCTGTCATACCTGGCTGCTGTTTCCACTGCAGCCTTGAGCTCCTCCTCTTCCCCTGCTCCCCATCTCCCAGCTACTTCTTACAAATTTATTTAATCTGGAAAACCAAGAGTGAGGCATAGTGGTTCTTTCTGTAAGGACACACCAGAAATCCTGAAAAGCTCGGCTGCCCGCCTCTTTTAGGACAACAGATTTAGGAAGGGTTTTACCATCCTTAGGAAGAGCTTAGTGATTTGAAGAAGCCGCCTGGAAGTTCCTGCTCTCCTTGTGCGCTCCCCTGGCACATCCCTGCTGCCCGAAGGGAGAGCTGGGAGCTGGAAAAACAAAAACAAATACAAACACTTCAGCCTATTTGTAAAGAAAGTTTACAAAATGATGAGTGAAAGACAGTTAATGATGCATCGTATGGTTAGTGCCAGGGAAAATGCTCTAAATTGAAGTCCTCAAATATGAAAAGAATCAACATTTAATAAGACAGTTAATGTATGTTATTTAAATGTCACTTCATTATTAAAAGTGTATATTTTTTGAGGTTTAATAACCATGTAATTGAGGCATCTTTTCTATAGTTAAACCTTGGCAAATATGTTTTTCATAATTAGCTGGTATTTATTTAACATGCAATAACCATCCCATTAAATTTAATGACTTCAATTAATAGGTACAGAGGGGCCTTTTTTAATGTCAATATGTATTCTTAAAGACGGTTCCCAATGTGGTGCCATGAGGAGGCTCAGCTACCTGGGTGTGCCTGGGGAGGGGCAGGTGCCCGAGTCGAGTCACGGGGTTTTGCTGGCGCCCCATTGCAGGAACGGGGACCCCTGGGGAGCACCCAGCCAGGGAGGGGGTGCTGCATGTCCCAGCCAGGGCTCGGGGTGCACAAGGAGGGCGATGCCAGGGGGCATCCATGGGGACCCGTACATGCCGGGCACCTCCTCACCGTGCCAGCCCCGCTGCTGGGTACGAGGAGCGAGGCCGAAGGGCAAACTCTGCCAGGACAGCGAAGCAGGAGAGGCTCAGCCTGACGCAGCCGCGGCTGAGCCTTGCAGCCCAAATTAGAGAACAGCCCAGGGTAAATTAACTCCTTTAACAAACCATCCAGTACAGAGTTATTAACTGGCTTGTAATAAAGCGCAGCACAACGCTGTACGCGCTGCAATCCCGCTGGGCTCCGGGCCATAAACCCTCACGCCAGTAGGGAGGACACCTCCATCGTGCAGGTACGCACCACTTCCACTGCCCCAGCACCTCTCCGGACCAGGGCAGGGGTTTTGCTGCCACTTCCCAAAACCCCTGTGTCCCCGGGGGGCTCTGCCCACTCCCCCAACCCTGGCAGGACCCCCCCAAATGACTCTTTCCCATCCTTTGAGCTTCTGATTTCCCCACATACCTCAACCACATCCCAGAGGACTTGGATTTACCTGAAGGCAGAAGCGCTTGAGGAGCTTGAGGAGGGGAAGAGCGCACATTTCCCCACGTAGCAGGTGCTCGGGAACATGGAGCAAACTCCTCAGAAAGCAATTACTGCTCGCGAGAAGCAGCACACTGGAAACACACCATCTCTCTGCTCCAGTGCCAGGGTGTGGAGCCACGAGGCAGGCTGCGAGTGAGGTGCTCCCCCAGGGACCCTGAAACATCGATGGCCGAGGCCAGCAGCCAGCACAGCCCCCTGGCCTGCCCTGCATGCAGCTGGGGGGACCCCAGCACTCCACAGCCAGCCACCCATCCCTAAGGCCATCTCACCTGGGAATGTGATGCTGGCTGCAGACACCAGGGTCAGGTCACATCCTCCCGTCTTGAAAACTGGTGAGATGATGCTGGAAGTGCTCAGTGCAGCCAGGAGACCCCGGGGAGGCAGTTGTAAGCTCTGCTCCATTTTTCCAGCTGTCTTGAGCCAGGACAAGGCTCAAGAGACGTTAAATCCTTGAAGACAAAGGATTATAAATTGGGCTTACACCTCTCGCCTGAGTTCAGGGTGACTTGGTTCACCCTAGGGCAGAGATCCAGCTCTAGCAGAGCCCACATCCCCAGAAATAACCAGAACACAGCCCCGGGGCTTTCCTTCCACCCCCAACTTCTCCCTGCCCCTTCTGGCCTTTTCCGTTTCAGCATGATGGGGCTGCAGGGCAGCCACCACCTCACTGCCTTGGTACCTCCTTCCCCAGCTAAAACCCTCTAAGGCCACTTCCAGGGGATGGTCAAAATGCACTAAAGCTCGAGTAGATTGGGTCAGCATATGTCTCCACACATTTCCCAGGGCACGGAGTGAGGTGCCAGCAGCACTTCCAGCCTCTGCCGGGAAAGACACCGGCTGCCTGCGCTCTCCTGCCCCGTGTGCAGTGAGGTAGCAAGACTTAGCAGTGATCAGTGAATCCCACTTAATTGCGGCATCGGTATTTAAGGGACCCCACTGGCTGCTCTGACAAGGCCACCGTGAGCTGGCTGCAGCCATCTGCTCCTCTGGCCCGGGGACGACCCAGTGATTTCTGGGGCTGGGGGCTGGGTGGGGGACTCCTGCCCTGCTGCCCTCCTACCTGCGGCTCAGCTGGGGTATCCTGGCCGGGATGGGGAGCGGAGCCGATGGGATTATTTACTGCCTCAACTCAGGCACAGGTGCCCAGCAGCAACGCTGCCAACCTGCAAACAGCCGCCTGCATCAACGTGGTCATAAATTACTCGCGGAGCCATGGGGGACCCGTGCTGCAGGGCAGGCGGCAGCGGCATGCGGCCCCGCGCAGGAGCCCAGCACAAGCAATTAATCCTCGTTAGCAGCCTGACGGGGAGGTGGGCTTGCCAGGCATGCGGCACAGGGCAGCTGCTCCTGCAGCAGGTCTCACTCCTCCAGCACAGTTGCCTGCACCCACACTCCTCCTTCTGTACCCCTCCTTCCCCAATGTTCTCCTCTCTGCCCAACTTCCTCTTCCCCTGTCCCACCCCTGCATCCTCTCCTACCTCTCCCCCATTGCCCTTGTTTCCTCCTGCCTCTCTCCATCCTTTCTTCCCACCTCACCCCAAAGATGCTCCTGCAGCGCTGCTCCATCCCCAAAGCAAAGAGGAGGCTGGTCCCTGCCTGCCACGCTTGGCTCCCAGCAGGTGCACAGGAGCCCTTGTAATGGGGCAGCTGCTGGGACTTGGGCATCCCGTGCCACAGTCTCAGCCACCGACCTCCTGGATTTCTGGGAAAGAAGATAAAACCAAAATGCACCAAACCACCTCCAGGGCCCAGACCTGCACTGCTGCGTCCCAGCTCCTGAGGACACGAGGCTCACTGGGCAAGGGCAGAGCACAGCCTGGCCAGGGCAGCCCAACGACGCTGCGCAGGGACGTGTCATCCCCAGTGTGACATCCCTGAAGCAAGCAAATGCTGTTTCTCACACAGCAGATGGCAAATCCTACAGCAGGGGGGGGAAGCAGGGTGCCCATCAGCACCCCCAGTTATCGCCTTAACTCTGCACCTCCCTTTTCAGGGCTGGGAGCCAGCACCGGGCTCCCAGGCTCTCCCTTCCACCACCCTCCTCTCCCCGGCTCCAGATGTCCCCAAGGACACCCCCCAGGACAAGGGACCAACCTCTGCCTCCTGCGACCTGGCCCCGTGAACCCAGGTCCATCAGACACTGCTCTAGGAGGAAGCATTGAACTGAAGCAAAAAAGGACCTTGATTAAAAAAAAAAAAAAAAAAATCTAGAATAAATAAATAAATAACAAGGACAAGTCTGCTTTTAAATTCAAATGTGCAATATGGCCCAGAGCCTCGGAGCCAGAAGGGAACTACAGATTTGGGCAAGGAAACAGGGAATATTTCACTTCAGCTCAGTCCAAGCCGTCATGATTTACACAGCAGTGAGGGAGGTGGGGAGACTGATGCTCCCCGGGCGCTCTGCAGCTCCGGCAGCCATCCCCCTGCCCGCCCTCCCCGGGCTGCTATCGCTGGAACTTAAAAGTTTCTCCGGGCTCCCACGTCCCGCATCAGCTCCCCATGACATCCCACCAGCTCGGCTTTAGGGCCACGGCTGTGCCAGGGCAGGGGGGTTCTCCCCGGGGCTCCTGTTTAACCCCCAGCACCCACGGGCACAGCACGCCCCGGCCCTGCCTGGTCCCAGGACCCCCCGGCCCAGCGGGGCGCAGAGCCCCACAGCAGCGTAACTCGTGGGGGCTGTCTGGGATCACAGGAATGCCGGTGGCCGTGGCGGCTGCCATCCAGCTCGGGTGGGCGTCCGCACCGGGGAGCGACGCCGTGACCGTGGCCCCCGTCCCGCCGGGGAGGCTCCTGCATCTGCCGGGGGGGCTGCAGCCCCCACCCAGGGCTAAGGGACCTTCTCCTGAACTCTGGACCAGCAGCAGTGGCCAGTTCCTGCCCCTCGGGCCACTTGGTTAATGCTTCTGCCCCAGGAGCCTGGAGCCGTAAGCAGTAATCAGATCCCCTGAGGGTCACAAGTGACGCGAGTTTGCACAGGCCTCAGCCCAAGTCCAGCAGCTGGGCACAGCCGGACTTTTACCTCTCTCGTACTGCGCACACGGCGCCTGGGATGCTCACAGAGGTGTGTCTCGGCTTCCGACAAGCTCAGATCTCCGCCAAGAGCTGCCTGGGAGCATCACCCGGCCCCGGCCCCGGCCCCGGCCCGCAGCAGCCCCGGGACCCCCGCGCTTCCCCCGGCCCGGAGCCGAGCGGCAGCCGGGGCGCAGCCGCGGCAGAAGCGCGGACCGACAGTGCCACCTGGTGCTGCCTGCCAGAAGGGATGCCCGGCCCCACGGGGCCGTGGGTGCCCCGCGGGTGGGTGCCGCAGGGTGGGTGCTCCGCGCTCCTCAGCAGCACGGGGCGGTGGGGGTCCGGCGCAGGGTGCCTTGTGCCGAGGGAAGGGGCAGGAAGGTGGCAACGAGCTGGGGGGGGGGGGTGGGATGTTGGGGGGGATGTGGGGAGGGTGAGAAATTCAGCATAAACCCCCAGACCTGTATTTTCCACGGCCAGCAGGTACCTCAGCCCCGGTGCCCCAGCAGCCCCGCACCCACAGCAGGGTGGGAGGACGAGGTGGGAACAGGCACACGGGGACGGCTGTGTCCACGGCCACATCCTGAACACAGGAGCTGCAGGACGCTGTGCCCAAAAAACCAGAGCCCCCGATGCAGGTGGATAACCCACACAGGCACAGGCCACGCAACTTCACGTGGGGACATCCCAAAAGAAACCCCCTGTGATCCACACAGAGGGGTTCAGGGCTCAGCCCTGCTGGCACAGTGGCTGCTGGAGGGGCTGCGGAGAGGAGCTCTCCCCCAAAACAGTAGGTACCCCTGCGAGCACAGACCAACTTCCCCTAAAAACCGGGAGGCAACACGGCAGGGCATCACCCCTGTGCAAAAAGAGCCAAGTGGGGGTGCAGGGTGGGCTCCCAGGGGGTGTGAAGGCGCATGGGAGGTGTCGGGCACAGCGTGTCACCATGTCACCCCATGCCCTGGTGCAGCGACCCGGGGACAGAGGTGCTGCAAAAGCTGCAGGCAATGACGCGACATCCTCCCCACGTCCCCGTGGCACACGCGCATCCCCCACCACAAGCATGGAGAGCAAGGGGGGGACCGACTGCAGGGTGGGGGGAAAATCTGCTTCACAAATTACCGTTAGTACCAAATGTCCCTTCTTATCAAGACTGGACGGGTATTCAATTTTCTCTTCAAACGCCTGCCTTCTGGAATGGTAATAGAATTTCAAATCTAGGGGAAAAGGGAGGGGAAAAACTGAATATGCAAGGATTAACAATGAGAGAGAGAGACAAAGGAAGAAATTATACCAAAAAAATATAGTCAGAGCCTTTGCAGGAATTAATTAAATACAAATATAAAGAGAAAATTAACAGTCTCATGCTTAGGAGGGGGGAGAAAAGGGATATTTTCCGAGTTTAATTAACCTTTTTTTGCCAAGAACAATGAAGAGGAAGGGGGAAGGGAGGGAAAGGAGAGCAAAGACTCCTAATTGTTTTGCCTTGCAGGAGATAATTATGGGAGCCAGCCGGGTCAGGGTCTGCCCACACAGGTTTGGGGTGCGTGGGTCCAGCTCATGCACGTGCCAGGACCATGTGAGTAAAATAACTCATTTGTTGACCCGAACTGGTAGGTCGATCGGGAGGAGCAAAGGCAGAGCTGGGAAGAGCTGTGGCACCCCCAAATGCCAGCGAGCTCGAGGTGGGTGCCATGCGGAAGGGGAGACTTGGGCATCAGTGGGAGGTGGCTGGTGGCCACGGTGGCTAACAGGGCTGTGAGACAACCTCCGTCCCCACACTCCCAAACGTCTTGTTTGCAGGTTTGGTATCCGCAGTGCTCAAAAGCATCAGTCACAGGGCGACAGCTTGGGGATAGGACGGGGTTTTGGAGCAGCTGGATGCCAAATTAATGGTCTTTGTCACCACTGTCCCCTCCCGGGGAAAGCCACGGGCCAGGCAGTGACAGCAGGATGAAAAGCAACAGGACAAGGAAGGGAAAGGTGATGCCAATGCTAACATGAACGCCTGCCTGCCGAGTCCTTGCTCCTTGCCCTGGTGCCTCTTCTTTGCTGCTGCCTGTGCGGGAGCCGTTTCCCTGCAGCAGGGACCCCAAAAGAGGGGAAGGGGACAAAGCCAGACCTGGAGAACCAGAGCTCTGGCAACTTTAGCAGCAGGTCAACATTGTGCCCAGCTCTAAGGAGCGACAGGGTGCAACTACGGGCACTGCTGGACACCTAGGCTTACACCTGCAAGCCCCGCAATAACATTTGTGGCAACTCACGTAACACCAGAGATGGGAATGGGTCAGTCAGTGTGCCATGGGCCACCTGAACAAGGGGCGATGAACAGCACCATCCTCCTCCTCCTCTGGGTCTCAGCACCGGGGCCGCTCGCGGGGAGCAGATCCCCGGAGGGAAGCCCGGAGCTTCGGGGCCGAGGTGCTGCCTGCCTGGGGCAGCCGTGAACAGGCAGCGCCGTGGGTTTCCCAGAGCCC